GAAAATAAGTGAGCTATGAGTATGTGAACATCTCTATAAGTATGTGATCATCATGGTTTATATACACATTCTTTCAAGATGTGTATTGGCATACTCTGTGAAAAGCATGCGCTCTCGGGTTAACATACTTCCGCTGGGACTTACTGGCAGCTTCCTGGACCTTTTTCTTCCATTTCCAGCCCATGTTTCATTTTCTGATACTCTCTTGACCCAGCCCTTTCCACTTAAGTTCATTATGGCCCAACACACAATGACTGAATTGTACTTGGTCCCCAGCAGTGTTTTGGATGCTAGAGACACTAGGTAAGGACTTGCAGCTCTGCCCTAGCCAGTTCCTGCCTCCACTCCCTTCTTCTTTTCTCCTGCCATCTTTTCCATCTTTCTGTTTCCCCTGCTGAGCTGAATTTGGCCATCAGAGTTCTGCACAGGCTGAGCTGGACCTACCTGAACAGCACAGTGGATTGCTGCTGAATTTTATTTCCTCTTGGCTCCAGGAATAATCTGCCATGTTGGGCCAAGCCCTGAGCTACATATTTCTTATGTGATGTCAATTGTTTACATTTACATCCCCACATGCTGTGGAGCAACTAAGCCCGTGTGCCACAACTACTGAGTCTGCGCTCTAGAGCCCACAAGCCACAACTACTGAGCCCTTGTGCCGCAACTACTGAAGCCCGTGAGCCCTAGAGCCTGTGCTCTGCAACAAAAGAAGCCATCGCATTGAGAGGTCCGCTCACTGCAACAAAGAGTAGCCCCCGCTCGCCGCAACTAGAGAAAGCCCGCGGGCAGCAACGAAGACCTAGCGCAGCCAAAAATAAATTAATTAATTAATTAATTAAAAAAAATTTACATCTGCTGTGGTGGTAAGCGTTCTGCTTTGGAGGTAAGAGTTTATTGTCAATACTATTCCTACCATAGCTGCTACAGATAGCCTCCATTTACTGCATGACAGGCCTTTTACACACATTTAGTATTGCTTTTTATTCCAATAGTATTATTGCTTATAAAGAGAAAATGTTTTCTCCAAGGGAGCAAATTAGCAGCTATCCATCCCACCAGGTCTAGTAGCATTTGTTGGAATTTAGTTTTGTTTGCAGTGGTACTAACTAGTGGTGTATCTGGGGGAAGATGTTCATCGGACAGTTGTAAACTAGGTAAAATTATGCACACTTCAATCCTGTTGCCTCGAGAATGTGTGGTTCTTTCTGAGGAAGTGGTCGTATTTCCTTAGGCTCGAAATTTGAGTGAAATTTACAGCTGTCAGTTCCTTGAAAATATTTTGGCATACAAAATAGAGTCCATCCTTACTTCTCCCTTCTCTAAAGTAGTTAACAACATCGCATACGTGTGGAGGGCATCCTACTAAAATATGAATTGTTTTAATAAATAAAAATGCAAATATTACCAGGGGAAATTACTGGCCAATTTTTAAACTCGATCTTTGTATTCTGGTTACTTTTATCATTGGCTTCTGTCTTCCTTTCCCCGCAGCGATCAGTTAAAAATGTCAAATAGTTACAGTAGTGTAGCTATTTGACCACATATCTTGCCGTTAGTTTCTCTTCAGTATGAGTATTTGAATTCTTTCTTCCCAGTCAATCCAAGGACACCCTAATTTGTGCATGATGCATATATATTTTGATATTAATTAAAGCTCAGGAAGCATAGCTCCCAAATAAAATATATTTATATGAAATATGAATATGCAGGGTTCAATGTAGTGTATGTAGTCTGTGATCCATTTGCTATGTCGAATAGGTGATTAGGGTAGGGGCTGGGAGGGCATCAGAAAACATAGGAAGCCTATTGATCATATTAGGCAAAGCAAGTTGTCTGGGGGAAGCCAGCAGTGTTCCTCTTGTCAGTAAATGGCCTTTGATGGCCTTCCTATGATGTGCCAGGAAATCTCAGGTCAGTGGAGGACATCTCAGTTTTTCTCTCCTCTCCCAGACAATCGTGTAAAATTAGGCCATTTAGGGTTTAGACGGTAGGAAATACTTCCTGAAGACGGGAATTAGTGGAAGCCTCTTTGTGTATCTCTTTCTTACTACTTTGATGTTCTTACAACCCCAAGTAGACATCTTCATCATTTCCCCCCACCCCTCTGGCTATGACACTAATCTCACCTAGGGGCCTGATTCAGTCTTTTCTCTCAAATCTGTTGTTCAACATGTCATCTTTGTGATCAGGATATCAGAGTGGAGGGAATGACAATGCAGGATAGAAAATGAGAGGCCGAATTAGGGATAGGTCAGGAGAGGTCAGCAGAGGCAATCAACAACGAGACGCAGCAGGAAAGCTCGTGTGGGTTTATAAAAAGCGTGTTTATAGGCCTCTGCAAAGTGTGCTTTTCCTAGAGTAAAAGGAAATCCTCGGTCCCCACCCCATCCCCCAATGAAAAAAAGGAAATACTTGTGATGGAACACATCACAAGGAGAATTTCCAGACTTGAAGGGTATATTTTCAGATAGAGGATTCTCTTTCCAGGTGCTTGGTTGAGCTAACCAATATTGCTTACACCTGTAAAAACGGCATCTTTGGAGTGCCCCGACTTTATTCCAGAACTCTTCTGATTCCATCCATTTTAAGTGGCTCTTTGCATGTGGAGATTCAGTTGACTCCATGAATACATAATATGATTATTTTAAAGTTTACACTTGGGAATATTTCCTTTTAAAATTATGGAAGTAATGTGTATATTAAAAAATTCAGGGCTTCCCTGGTGGCGCAGTGCTTGAGAGTCCGCCTGCCGATGCAGGAGACGCGGGTTCGTGCCCCGTTTCGGGAAGATCCCACATGCCGCGGAGCGGCTGGGCCCGTGAGCCATGGCCACTGAGCCTGCGCGTCCGGAGCCTGTGCTCCGCAAATGGGAGAGGCCACAACAGTGAGAGGCCCGCATAACGCAAGAAAAAAAAAAAAAAAAAAAAATTCAAATGGTACAGTGGAATATACAACGAAAACAAAAGTTTCCCACCATGACCCCTTCCCTTTAATCCACAGTCCCTTAAAATGAACTGCTTAATGTTTTCCTGGGTACGTTTCTAGACAATTCTCATACAAATAAAATATCATTTTTTAAAAATAAGATATCATTTTTTTCATTTCATTTATTCATACCATTCTTCCTATTCCCCTCTTTTTTTTCTTTTTGTGCTCAAGTATTTAAAAGCAAACCCCAGACCTCATATTCATTTGCTTGTAAATATTTACATAAATATAAGGACTTTAAAAACAAATAGCCTCGATAACTATTACAACATTTAAGAGGATCAACGATTGCTACATGATATTATGGAACACCCGGGCTACAATCAGTATTTTCTTAATTATCTCAAAAGTGTCTTTTTATAATGCTTTGTTCAAATCAGGAGCCAAATAAGCTTCACACCTTGCATTTGCTTTATATGTCTCTTAAGTGTCTTTTCATCTATAACCTCTTCCCTTCTTAAAATGCCAGTTACTTGTTGAAGAAACTGGGTCACCTGTCCTACAGAATGTCCCACATTCTGAATTTGTCTGATTCCATCCCTCTTGGTGTGTTTAACATTTCTAAAAAACAACCTGTATTTCCAGTAAATTTACTAGTTATATAGAAGCTCGATTAAATATTTTGTAAGAATATTTCATAGATGGATTATCAGAGGGCACACAATGTCTGTCCCATTTTTAGTGATGTTGAGATTAATGGTTTTAGGTGTTGTCAGCTTGATTCATCCTTTAGAAAGTCCCCTACCAACCTTTCACCTAATGGACTGAGAAGCAATTGATTCCTATTTTTTAGAAAATAAAAATAGAATCTCCCTAGATACGTAGTTTCAATTCTTGCTTTATCCACTAAGTGTAATATCTTGGACATGTTTCTATATTAGCATCTATAGATCTAGTTCATTTTAAAAAATGGTTTCTCATGTTTTATTTCATGGGCGTATTACAACTTACTTAATCAGTTTGGAAATGTTCCTGCTTCCTCATGATTAAGAACAGACAGTCTGAGTCCTTAACTCTACTCGTTTTCCTGTATCCCTAAATCGCAGAGGCTAGTGTGGCCCTGAGCAGTATAAGTTGATAGACTAGATGTGTAGCAACACAGTGTCACAATAGACACCCTCCCCTTTGGGGCTGGTGGAGGAGACGGTGATCTCAGCTTTGCTTGGAGGAGGTGGTTGGTTTGTTGGCTTTCCTGAAAAATGGAAGCATTGGCAGCTGCCCGGTTGTAGCTCTTCCCAAAGTGAGTAGTGGGGCCCAGTCTCTGTGCAGAGCAGGGCAGTGCATCTTAGTGGCCACCAGAGGGACAGAAACAAGAGGGTGACAACCCCTGACCTTAAGACCCCCTGATGGCCAAATTGGCAGCAGCATCTGCTGAAGCCAAAACTAAACAAGTCAGCAGTAGGAGCCTGAAATTTGTCTCCACTGGAGTTGGGCTTGTGAGGTTTATGATGGCTGTTTGGTTTTCACTGTGGTGGTGTTCTCCGTCCCATTTGACTTGTCTTTATTTCTTACCCTTTCCCAAGTTCAGGAATTCAGATGTGAACTTGAATCTGGCAGTTTCCTTCAGGAAACAAAGGCTCTGAAGCCAGTCTTCTCTGGGCTGAGCTGGGACAGATGCCCTCCAAAGTGTGGGATGGCCTCTGGAAGCAGGGCTTTCCCAAGGCAGGTTGATCAGATTCTAAAAAATGGAACCCAGATGGAAGTAATGAGATGAACGTGGGTTTCTACCAGAAGAAAAGCAGTAATAAAGCTTCCTCATGGATATAAAGTCTTGGAATGGCAAATGGCAAAAAACAAAACAAAACGAAGCAAAAACAAACAAACAAAACCCCCCCAAACCCCACAGAACCCCAGAAACCAAAACCAAAAATACCCCAAAACCAAACAAAAAACCCCCTCAAGCCCCCCAGTTCCTTGTTAGTGTTCTTTATAGAGCAATGCATGTGAATTAGCGCTGGACGCAATGTGCCTTTTTGCTTTCCTTAATTTTCCTGTCTTTCTCCTTCTCCAAGCCTCAGAAGAGGAAAGCGGAAAACCTTTCCAGTGCCCCATATGTGGTTTGGTTATAAAAAGGAAGAGTTACTGGAAGCGGCACATGGTGATTCACACGGGTTTAAAAAGCCATCAGTGTCCGCTCTGTCCATTCCGGTGTGCTCGCAAGGACAATCTCAAATCCCACATGAAGGTAAGCCACCTGCGGATGGGCCTCACGGAGAGGCAGGCACAGCGCGGGCCCTTGCACAAATCCATGCCCAGCGCTCCGTGTTGAAAGGTAGATTGCAATGCAAATGAAGCACATTGAAAAGGATCTTGTAAAGGATCTCATTATAAGCGTCTTCAAGTCCATCCGACAACCCAGAACTTAAAGCAGAGAGCAGCTTCAGTATCCAAATAATATACATAGTGCAGAACCATCCTTTCCTATTGGGAAGCAACAGCCTAACTGGCCTTGCACGGTGATGCATTTTGGGCCACTAGGAGGAAAAGTTGGGGAAGAGCAAGAAGCAGGGAAAGACGGGTTCAGGAAGGATTGCTGGACCTGCCCCCCTTCCTGGAAGGAATGCCCGCTTCTGCTGTTGCTTTGCCGTCCAGCTTACACACCCAGAGACACCTTATAGGGAGCGTGAGGACATTGAAAGACACCTGGGCTTTAACTTTCACCCTGTGGGAGGCTTGAGGGCCACTCCTGACAAGACGGAGTCCCCTTGAGGCTGACAGTGTTTGAGCCGTCATAATTCCCGGGATCACACTTAGCAAACATCTAAAGACGTTGTTTTCGGTGTCCTATTAGGAGCAACTGGGGGGCTTGTGCCTGTAATGAGCATATAGGGAATTGACTAGACTATGTGTCACACTTATGTGAGCTGGGGGGAAACTTAGTCATCTAGCAGTCTTTTTAGCAGACCCTATTAATGCTAAGGAATGCAAAGAGGAAACCCAAGAGATCAAAAAAGCATGGCTTCTGAATTTGACAGGCTTGCCTTTAAATCTTATTGTATAACTTACTAGCTAAGTGGTGAGCAAATGAGTCTTTAGACTTAATTTTCTCATCTGTTAAATGGGAATGATTATGTTCGTCTGGAAGGGATATCATTAATATTTAAGGAGGTGTTAGCAAAGTATCTGACACAGAAATGTTCAATGGTGGCTATTTCATTTCAATAGCTATTTTTGAACACCTTAATAATAATGACCATCATTTTCACTGATGTTTGCAATATTGTCTCACTGTTGACATTACTTATAAAGTGTTTACTTTCCTGCCGTAAGAAGTAGAGCATGTGTACATAATTGAGGTATTTGCTTTTTTCAAAATATTGCAGTCTTATCCTTCTGAATAGATCAGTAATCACTGTTTAGAATTGTTGATCTAAAAATGTATGATCAGACAGAACCTCTACTGACTTTAGGAAATTGCTTGGAAAATTAAAAAAATAAATTAAAGCCATGATATAATTTGTTTTCTACCATTTGCCTTTGTCTCCAGGGAGTAGCAGGCCCTTCATTTTCAGAATGCATTTAACCAGGGGTTCTGGTTGGTTGAATTTTACTGAGCTGACTCAGTGTTTTACTTGCATCCCTCTCATCCTCTGTCAACTCTTCCCAGCGTAAAATCTTGTATTTTACACCTGCATAGTGGATTTTATTAGCAGGATGAGCCTTCCAAAGAAATGCCTTTAAAACTAAAATTTGTTTTTGTTACCGTGTCCTACTCTGTGTTTAGAAATCAGTTCTGGCAAATTTAAAGCTTCAGTGAGCAGAAAACTTGCATCTGGCCTGACACCTTGTAAGCCTGTTTTCAGCTCAGGGTCGCTTAAAACAACCTATTTATAAACCCATGGGGGAAAAAAAAAAAAAGCTGGGTTTTCAATAGCAAGAACTACTGACCCTGAAACTACAGGGAGATGAGTTGGGTGCCTTGATGATACAGACCGTCGGCCACGACAGCGTTGCAGATGAGAGCAGCCAGGGCTCTGTGGGTCGTGGGGTCTTAGAATGCTTTCAGAACAAATCAATAACCAGTACAATAAAGCAGTGGTGTGAAATGACTACTTTATTCAAACTCATGGTGTCCTAACCTGTTGAGCTTTTGAGGAGGGGAGTGTGAGAGGGGCTTATGCAAGTTTAATTTCATCAGATGGTGTCCGCTTTCTTTTCTGTTCTCCACCTCACTTATGGGCCCGTGTTTTTTGCTTTGATCAAAGAATTCATGATTTAATTTTGATGAGGCATACTTTCATTTTGGTAGATTTTGAAAACATAGTCTACGGAGAAATATAATAGCTCTGGCCTTAGGAATAAATATTCTTTGCTCTGTGCACCAGAGGCTACAAGATGGATAGATTTTCTGAAACAAGTCCTACCTCAGAAGTAGGGGCAGTATAGCCTATAGATTAAGATCTCAAACTGCGTGGTAAAAAAAAAAAAAAAACAAACCTCAGTTAGAATCTCGGTTGCATGACTTTCAGTAGCTGTGGAGCTTTGGGTGAATCATTTAACCTCTCCAAGGCTCCGTTTCCGCTCCTGGAGATAATAATCATACGATCTACCTCACGGACTTGTTATAAGGGTTAAATGAGATAACGGATATAAAGCACTTAATATGATGCCCAGCATGGAGAAACACTCAATAAATGCAGCTACTGTAGTAATTATTATCCGAAAGCCATCTGGATATATATTTACATTTAGAAATAAATCGATGACATGGCATGAAAGAATTACTCTAAATTTTATTGCTTTTCTCTCTTCATGACATAGCTTTAGTGTTGAGAATTTAGAAAAACTGATAAAAAGAATCTGAAACTGGCCCTTAATCCCATCACGCAGAAATAACCATTATCATCCTAATCTGTATCCTTCTATATTGATTACATAAAGCTACTTAAGGAAAAACAGGATTCTACTTTATTTGTTCGACAACTACAGTACTCACTGGGTTCAGGCACTGTACAATTTTCTGAAAGCCTGCCTTTCCTTTTTCATATATCATGCAAATGTTTTTATGGCTTTGCTGCGGAAGGAGCTTGTAAATGCCTCCAGCTTCCTCGGGGTTATCTTAGATTTCCATTAAGTCTTTTACAACTTTCCTGGATGAGCGAGCATACAGGAATTAAATGCGGAAATCATAAGCTAAAATTGAACAGAGAAGGTGAGGAGGGCTGAGATCGGGAACATGGGTGAAGAAACGGCAAGAAGTAGGCAAGGGTCAGGGCGCCGACTTTTTCTAGTCTCAGGCCTGCCAGCTAAGGAGCTGACTCCTAGGTAAGCCCCCTCCCGGCCTGCCTTGTCCCCTCAGTGAGGTGGAGATGTTTCCCAGAGTGTCCTCGTGTTTATCCAGCTGCTACCAGGAGGTGGACCCAGTGATGCAACAGCCCTTATACTTCCCACCTCTTGGGGTGGTGACATGCTCTCTCTGTGAAGGATGACCTGCAGAAAGCAGGTCTCTATGTGACCTGGAAAGAATGACACGCTTTAGTCAAGTGTTTCTTGACAGTAGCCGACCAAGAGGGGTTTTTAAGCCGATGTCGGGCTAAAGAGAGTACAGATGATCCCTTTCTGTCGGGAGAGCAGGGGAGAGCCTTCCCTCCAAGACCAAATGCGAACTCTCGCCCCTCCGGGAAGGTCTAGCTCTAATAAAATTTCTAAGTGTGACCGTCAACACTTCATCCACGGTTTTTCTTTTCAACGGTCACTCATTTTTCTGCCACTAAATATAGCCAGGCCAGTATCGGGTGGAAGAGGAACCGCATACAGGACTTGGGCACAGACGCTTTTGAATCCAGGGCTCCCTGTTTGATTTTAGAACCTGGGCTCTGTCCTTTTCCTTTTTCCAGAAGCTGCTTCCAGAGCTTCTGTTCTTGGATTAGCTCCTGTCCTCTCCCGGGGCAATAGATGTCAGGACACTCCTGAAATGGAATCTGCCCCACCGCACTGCTCCCAGGGACGCCGGAAGATTTCAGCCTCATGACCTTTGCCACCTGGTTCCGGGGCGAGCTGTGGCTGGCACCTGTCAGGGTCCCCTGGGGCTGTGACCTGAGGCCCCCCCAAGGTGCTTGCTCCTGTGTGAACTGGTTGGAAGAGAGGGTGGGGAATCTTCCCGATTCTGTGAGTGAGAAAGTAAATGAATTGCTCCGCTCCAGAGTGAAGTCCCTTTGTTGCGAAAGAACAGAGACAGTTAACAGCTGGTGACAAAGAGTGTGTGTCCCCCCCATTCCAGTCCCTCCCGAGGTGGCAGAGGGGAAGCCTTTCAATCAGCAAGGCTTTGCTGTAACTGAATTTAAGTGTATACGGTTATTTCTGTGGAGAAATTCAGGCTTTGGGGGACCCAGAATCTCTTCTGTTGTTTTTTTCAAAAAGCCACAGTGGGGTGCTGTAGCGACAGGATCTCACCATTAACTTTTAATTTCTTTGCTTTTGTTGGTCACTCGGCATTATTTAAAAGTATGTTTTGGCTGGTGAATAATGCTTTTGGATTGCACTCAGAATGCATAAACGGCTGTAGTAAAACTTGCACTCTTGGAAAGGAAGCCCGCGCAGAGGGGCCAGGTGGCCCAGTGGATTAAGGAATCTTTAACCTTTCACCTTCCCTAGACCTGGATTCAAATCCTGCCTAGATCACCACTCAAAGATGAGAGGTCGGTTTGACTTGGGTTTTGAATTCCAACCACTCGTTTGTCTAAAATCACACAACTCCGCAAATCTCTTGGCCCAAATCTCCACCATTGGCAGTTTCTACTCCAGGGAGGGCCAGTCCTGAAATAGCAGGGTGGAGTAGGTCAGCCCTGAAGTACATTGGCAGAGATGAATGGGGAAGTTACAAGCTTATGAGCACCTGCCAGCTCCAAGCCTCGCTCGGGCCAATGCAATGATTTCCTCACTTTTTCAAGCACTAAATTTGATTGTGACAGGAAGTAAAAAAAAGGTTTCTAGCCATTTTTACAGGTACTGTGCAGGCAAGGCTGGGACTGTGTTTCAAAGTCTGCATTCTTTCATTGCAGACAGGACCACGATTGGAAACACTGGTTCCATCTTGCTGAGACAGCTTGGTGGGCATCAGCCCGTGGTTTTAGTCCCCCTCTGCTTCCTCTGTATGTCATTTTGCTCTAGCCACGTGCTTCGGGGTCTCAGTTTCTCTGTCTGTGAAATGGGAATACCCTGGAGGCATTATTTTCCACATTCTTAATTACCTAGAGAAGCATTTTTGAAAATGGAAATTATGTTTGCAAAACGTAACTAATTCTCTGGGTGGTAATAATTGGGTCCCTGCAGTGTATTTATATTACTTGACAGGTTACCTCTATTGACCCCCAACTAGTAAGTATGTAAGTTCAAATTGTGCTGGGTTTATAATGTTTTCTCTGAAGACATCAACTGAGATGGGATGACTAGAATATTAGGAGGATTCTACCCCAGACGGCCTCCATTGGCAGACAGCATCCTCAGTCGTGAGTATGGCTTTACTAATGGATTCTTAACCGGCGTGGGCCTGCTTTATGTTTAGGGATGGCCCTCACGACCTGAAGCACCTGACGAAGTGCTCCTCTAGCGATGAGATCCCCCGGGCCGGCCCTTTGTACCGTGAGGAAATTGTTGCTGAGTAGCGCGGATGTACAGCAGGGCGTTTTGCATCAGCACGCAGTGGCTAGCTCACTCTTCTTGCTTCTCCGCCAGGTTCATCAGCACCAGGACCGGGGAGAGACCTTTCAGTGCCAGCTCTGCCCTTTCACTTCCTCCCGTCATTTCAGCCTGAAACTCCACATGCGTTGCCATCAGCACTTCCTGAGGACAGAAGCCAAGGTGAAGGAGGAGATCCCAGACCCCGATGTCAAGGGATCCCCCCACCTCAGTGACAGTGCCTGCCTGGGGCAGCAAAGGGAAGGAGGCGGGACAGAGCTAGTGGGGACCGTGACGACGTCCAGCACTCCAGAGAGGACTAGCCAGGGTGGGGCTGGCGTCTCGCCTTTGCTGGTGAAGGAGGAGCCCAAGGAAGATAATGGCCTGCCAACCTCCTTTACTCTGAATGCTACCGACAGGCCGGCCAACCACACGAAGCTGAGAGAGCCCTCCGAGTATGCAGCCAACAGTGCGTCCGCATTGTTCAGCCAGGACATCTCTGTTAAGATGGCGTCTGATTTTCTCATGAAGCTGTCAGGTACTTGAAGAGGGTTGTCCTCTCTCTCTCTCCCTTCCCTATCCCTCTACCAGTATTCTCATCTATAAAATGATCTGGTGGGACTAAGCGATTTCGAGATCGCTTGAGATTCCAGTTGTCTGCACTCTCATACATTGAGACTTGTTTCTTGCAGTCCTCTGGAAGTAGGCATGGCTGTGGTTTGGGTCTAGAAACAACAGGGATTGTTGATTTCCTTCTGGTTTTCCCCCTTTATGAGTTCTTGCTGTGGGGGACAGGTCACAGCATGAGCCAGGTCGGTGACAGTTCTTTGTGTGACCTTGAGCCCTATTTAACTTGTCTGTCCGCTGGGTTCTTTAAAGTGCTTGTATGGGTCATCTTGCTTTGTGCTATTCAAGTTCTTTATTGCCTTGATTTAAAAGATTTTTAAAGAACATGTACACAGAGACTACTATTAGGAATTACAGAGCTTTAAAATTTGAGCAACTGATAAAATTATCTTTAAATTTTGTTTTTTCTAATGGAAAGTTTTTTTATTGTGGTAAAATATACCTAACATGAAATGTATCATTTTAACCATTTTTAAGTATACAGTTCTTTGGCATTAAGTACATTCACATTGTTGTGTGACCATCACCACCATCCATCTCTGGAACTTTTTCATCCTTCCAAACTGAAACCTTGTACCCATTAACCAAGAATTCCCCATTCCACCCTCGCTTCTGCCCCTGGTAACCATTATTCTATTTTCTGTCTCTATGAACATAACTACTCCAGGTACCTCATGTAAAGTGTAATTAAAAAAAAAATTTTTTTTAAACATTCTTTTGCAACTGCCCCAGTGCCTTTTAGAAAAGAGATGGAGTATGTTTGAAAAACTTATTACTCGGGGCTTCCCTGGTGGCGCAGTGGTTGAGAGTCCGCCTGCCGGCGCAGGGAACACGGGTTCGTGCCCCGGTCCGGGAAGATCCCACATGCCGCGGAGCGGCGGGGCCCGTGAGCCATGGCCACTGAGCCTGCGCGTCCGGAGCCTGTGCTCCGCAACGGGAGAGGCCACAACAGTGAGAGGCCCATGTACCGCAAAAAAAAACACAAACTTATTACTCATTGATATCACTTTCACCATCAAATTATGCATGATGTTTCTTTTAGTTTTTTTCTTTTTTTTCCCCTCAGTTTCTTTAAGTTGTGGAGTTGAATGGGGGGTGTAGAGGTGCTGAGGGAGCGCCGTTTTTCCTGACGTTTTGGAATGAGAAAACATGTTGTGGGTCTGTGCTGCTACTCATTATATTTTTTAATGTCTGATTTTAAATTTTAAAAGAGATGTGGAGGGCGGGGAAAGGTCGGCTGAGAATTGGTTCTATCTTTCAGTGAAGATGGCAGTCCCCAGGATGATTTCCAAATGCCATTTCAGCTCTTTGGAGATTGACAATACCCTTTTAAATGGAGAATAATTGGTCACCACCTTCCTTTAAATGGACTGTGAGTTGCATCTCACTAAATGTCATCGCCAGGTGAATTCGAGGTTCTGCTTCACTCTGAAGTCCCTTTGCTCAGTGACACTTCAGTCAGGTCTTCTGCAATGTCCCCATCACCCCCAGGTCCTTGCCCCTCAGGAGTGCACGGCGCTGGTTGGGAGAAATGAGGAAAGGCAGGGGATGGAAATGAGGCATCGCAGAAAGAACTGAGATGGAAATGTTACAGGGAGGCATCCCACCGTGCAAGATGAGTGAGCTCTTCCTACACCGGAAATGATCGGGTGTCAGGAATTCAACCGTGGCAGTGAAAAACGGTCTTCCCTTGTCTCTCCTCTTACATCCCAACCTAGGGGGACGTGTGCTCTTTGAGACTCTGCTTTTTGTATTTAAACATTTTTGAAAATGCGGGGGAAATTCAGGCTTCTGGTTTTCCTTTTGCCACTGATCCTTTAGTTTTCACTTCTGGGAGATCTCTGGTTCTTCTTTGATGGTCTCTCCCCCCAGTGTCAGAGCAAAAGGGGCTCCTTTTCTGGGCTCTTCTAGCACTTTCCCAAGGAATGCAATGGCATATTCACTTAGCATAGCTTGGAAACGGGGACATTTCCTTACTTAGCAGACAGGGGGAACTCAGTATGGGGTTAGTAACTCTTAGGAAGAGGGTACTCCCTTTACTCCAGGACTCCAGGAAGTTTTTAATCCTGAGGAAGGTGAGTGGGGTGGGGGAAGGTTTGATGGTACACAATTCGTGCTGAGCTCAGCTGTGAGTGCCCAGCATCAGGCTGTAATTAGCCCCAGACCCAGTGTCAGGGAGCACAAGATAAGGCCTGTGGCTTCTGGGAGCCAGGCTTGCAAACAGGAAAAACACAAGAGGAGAAGCCAGTCGGTAGGTTGGGGTGAAAAACTGTGCACCCAGGCCTTATACTGTGATCTGTTTTCTCAGTCGGCTATTGATGGGGACTTGTTTACGGGCTTGGCAGTCGCAGTATTTACTGACTGATCAGTTGGCATAAGAAAACAGATAACAAATGCACGCTGTTTATGCAAAAGGCCCGTGCAGCTATTTTATGGTGGCTTACTAGAGGTCCTGAAACCTGACTTGTGTGCACTGTTACCTAGCAACCTGTTACAAAGTCACCGGGGAGTGAGATGCATTGGTAATTTTTTTGTGTGTGCGCATATTTGGATGTAAATGTAAACTTGGTGACAGTGGCAACGTAGCCCACGGGAAAAGGAAAGGAATACATTTTCCGGAGGTGGGGAGGCATTATTTATTTATTTTTCTTCCACTCGCTCTCTGGCTGGTCAGGCTCTAGAATTGGTAGCTCCCATCATTGTGGTGCTCTACCTGGCTGTGTCTGTGACTGTGATCCCGGGACCAAAAGGCCAGATCCCGGGGAGCTGTGCCTGAGTTTCTAGCTCTTTCCCAATTCATTTTCAAATACAAG